TTGAATCGGCTTGCTTTCAAAGCGCTATTTAAAGCGCCCTTCTTTCTCCGTGCTCGCTATTGTTGCCCTGTTTATGACGTCAGCGGTGCGGTTTAATCGGGCGCGCTTTAGTCGAGCGCGGTTTTGTCGTGCCACGGCTTAAAATAAAATTCTATGGGTCGTTTGGGAAGCCCTTCGCCCTGTCCAGGGAGACTGAAATCTTTCCCTCCCCTCCTAGCCAGAAACAGAAATGCGGTATTTTTGTTCCTCTCTTCTTGGGGTGAAGACTCTCCTTGGGGTTAATTTCAACTGGTGGGTTAAGTTCAGCTAGGAACGCATCACCCTCTTTGATTCTTTGAAGGTGTTAATTTGGGCATTTTGTTCCTTTCTGTAGGGGAGGAATCCCTTTTTTTTAGAGCCATCGATTTTAATTACCATCACAGATGGAAACAAGCTGACAAATACTTCTTCTGTTCAAGAGGAGGTAAGATAACACGACTGAATTGCTATGCTCTGAACGTGGCACCTTTGCTGTTAAAAAACGTTAGCACTCTCCTCGTACAGGAATCAAAGACTTATTAAAAATGCAGGATTGTTTGTTTTGCTCGCGTGGCGCTCCGTTTTTCTGTGATTTTGGCCCACCTTTGCTTGTGGAGTCCTGGCAGGCTCTTAGCTAAAATGTTTCCCCTCTTCTTTCTACAGCTCCATCTGCCTCTGAATTCTCCCCTGCCTGGTAGCGAGCTAACCAAAGAACCGTTTCGCTGGGATCAACGGCTGTTTGCCCTGGTGCTGCGCTTGCCCGGGGCCCCATCAGTGGAACCCGAGCAGCTAGGGAGCGTCCCCACAGATGAGTCTGCCATCACACAGATGTGTGAAGTCACTGGAGGTAGCCGCAGCCTTCGCAGTTGAGCAATCTTGGGAATATCGTGTGAGATTCTAGCCAGGGCAGACAAGGTTGAACATTAGTTGGTTCAACTTGTTCTCTCTTTTGTGGGTTGTGCCTTGGCTTTTCTCTCCCCACAACCTCTGCTGACCTCCTGGGGACATCTGTGCAGCAACTCCAAATCAATAGTCCTTGTTGAGTTTATGAGGATGATTTTATATTTCCTAATCTCTTAGTAAACCTTGCCCTTCTGAAGCCCTTGTCAAACTTGTCACTCTAACAAGCTGTGGGAGAAATACAAAGATTGGATTGGTCCAACCATTTATATTTATATATCACTACTTTCCATTATACATAATTCCACCAATCAACTATCAGATATGCTTATGTTCATTGTTATCCTTGTACCTCATACCTTCAAACAGAAATCTTATTCCTTCATTTTTCAACAAAATATTCTAAGTGATCGCTACATATATACATAGCAACTTTTTAATTATTCCCT